CCGAACAGCTTTATTTTCAGGATTTTAGAAAATTCACTCTTTCAATTTTTATTTCCTAAAAGATTAAGATGGGAGCATTTATGCTTCTTACTTCCTTAAAATTCACAGTCAAACTTGCTAGTTTCACTTTTCTTTTTCATCCAAAGCTTCAGGTTTTCATTCGAAATAATCTTTCACTGTTCTCACCAGACCGATGCAACAAAATAGACAAAAAGGGTGGAAGAGCTAAAAGTATCAGACAAGCTTTCTAGGCTGCAATGTCCATCAAATTAAGCAGTTTAGATTGAACTGCTCAGAGCCCAGTGCATATTTCATCATCTACATTAGCATCAAGCAGAATAAAGGAAAATTCTCAAAAACGAAAATCCAATTGCTTAAAAAAATAAGGGAAATTTATTGTAAAAAAAGGGGTCCTCAGCGATTTTGCTTGTATTTGTCATCAAGCGAAACAAATGATCAGGTCTCAAAGATATCATGCCATCATCGGAGCCCATGATTCAAAGCAGACGTGTAAAAAGACTTGTCAGAAAATTTTCAGAAAGGAAAATTCTTTTGATGTTGTTTTACAGAAGAGTCGTGGAGGAAGAGAAGGGATTTGGCAGGATAACTATTCACTGCGCCTGGTAAGACAGATCAAAGGCGAAGTGACTCAACATTCCTGCAAACAATCTATGCCTCTTTTGCTTAGGAAAAAAATTTGATGGGTAAAATTCCCTGGAAACTCTGATTATCAGATTAAAGAGACCCCATCAAGAGGCAGAAAATCTTTCAAGAGAATGAGAAAGAACAACATACAAGAGAAAGACTCTGCTTATTGTGACAGTAGCAGGAAATAGAGTCGGAAACAATGCTATATACTGGGAGACCGGATTAGGGTTTTTGAGGCTGAAGTTTGAGTTACCGAAAATCTCCTTCAACTTCCTGCAATATGACCCTATGCACCCTTAAACCCAAAGCACTGTGGAAGGCTAAGAGCCCAAATGGATCTGCACCATTGAAGAAAACAACTGGCCCAAACATTTTGGCCACCTTGAAGTGTAGTCTCAATAGAAAATGACTTGAGTGAAGGATAATTTATTGGCAGAATAATTAAGTTTTAATGCATTGAAGAATCAGATGCCTTGTTCCATGCCTCGTGTTTGCACTTGGAATCTGTGATTGACATATCCCACCTTCTAATTTTCCCAATTAAGTGAGACAATGGAGATCTAAATTGCTTGTAGGAGATTAGCCTTTTTGTTCTGTGATTGGTTCATAGAGGTTATTAACCTTCCAACCCAAAATCATCAAATCCTTTCACTAGCAGGCCTCATTTGCCCAAATGGTACCACGAAAGCTAGAATAGGAGATTCCAGTAATGGAGCAAGAGCCTCTTTGCTCACCTATAGCTTGAATTGATTACTCCTCTTTCACTTTTTTTTAATGTCTTAATATTTTATTTTTTGTTATTAAAAAATATTGAATATTTGTATTATTACTTTTTAAAAAATTTAACCTAAAATATCTTCAGCCTTTTCAAGTCTTGATCTAAATTACACATAAGTTTATTAATTTTTAAAATAAATATTTTATTCTAAAAAAATTATTTTTTTCTTGACACATAGGTTTAATTTTATTTTTGTCAATTTGATGATGTAATAATATTAGAAAGATAATTTTATCTTTAATTAATTTTTAAAATTATTAGTATATAATTTTATTAATTAAAAAAAACTTCTTATTTTCTTTTAAAAAATATATAATACTTTTTTAAATTAATTAAAAAATATTTTAATATTTTCATAATCTCTGTTAATGGTGTTTGCCTTTTGAGATGGAGTGTTTATTGCGAAAACTAATTAACTAATAAATTTGTTTAAAATTTCAATTAAAACTTACAAAGATGAGATATTTTATTTAAAAAATTATCATAAAATCCATAAATTCAATTTTTTTATTTTAATATTTATAAAATTAAAAAAAAAAACATTTAGAGAGAAAGGGAAGAAGGAATGGATCAATCATGGATGGCATGGCATTTTTTGTGTTTTTTGTTAGCCACGAGCCACTTCCTTGGATATCATTGGGTGGAATCCGATACCCCAATCACCAAGCAGATTCCAAAGAAGGGTCCCCCTCTCCCAATCAACTCGTTTTCTGCACTAAATTGCATCAACTTTGACAAAGAGAGTTCCCAACAACTCCCGTCTTTCTTTGGACTCTCCTAAATATTTGTAACCAAAAGATGTTTTCTTTAAAAAAATATGAATTTTAATCTTTTTTAAGATAATGTATTAATCACTAAATTAAAAATAAGAAAACCCAAGGTACTTCATTGGTTGATAAAGATAATCAAATATAGATAAATATAAAAATTTTTTGTGATTTAGATAATTCATGTCACCTGTAATTTCTCAAGATAAGAAAAAAAATTCGATAGACGAATAGAAAACTTCCTTGCTAGGCAAGGTTTCAACCATATTGGACCAGTACTTGAAGAATTGTTTAATCTCGTTGACTTTCCCGCTGCTACTGATGAATATGTTTGAAGGGAAGTTTTCTTTGTTAATCAAACAAACAAGTTAGCTAGTATTAAATTATTTTCCTCCAGTGCCTTCATTTTCACCATGCTTGCTTTCTTGATTGCCAAGCAGGAGAAGTAGGCAGGATTCTTGAAAGCTTCGTGGACTTTCTCGACTCTTTTTTTTCTTTTGCAATTACAGCCTCAAGCCTCTTAAAATGTAGAGACAATTTCCCACGTGAGGTCTGACCTTTTAGACAAATCGTTACCAACCAGTCAGCTGAGATCAATGAACCTCAATCTCCGCATGACGTCACTCCATACGTATGATCGAATGCCAACATCCCACGTGGCCCCACCCCAGAGCCTCCAATTTTACGGGGTCCCACTCTCACCTCGCTGGCTCCGCCGCTCTGTCCCTCTATATATTTGAACCGAGCGTTCTCTAAAGGCCGAAACGTTTCTCCAAGAACCAAGCCTAGCTGTTTCTCTTTGTTTTGTTTTGTGTTTTTTGGGTGGATTTCGTCTTTTGCTTGCTGTTGGCTGGAAATAGAAAAAAGGTAACCATGTGTCCGTCGGAGAGAAACTTAAGTCGGCCGGAGAAGACCAGCTCGGTGTCGTGTTTCAGGTCGGCATTCGAGGTTCTTGACGCAGATCGTGATGGGAAGATCAGTAGAGAAGATTTGAGGAGGTTTTACGCGGGGTTTTCGAACGGTACCGGTTTCGACGATGACGAAATTATCGGGACGATGATTTCTTTGGCGGATTTGAACAAGGATGGTTTCGTCGAGTACGAGGAGTTCGAGCGTGTTCTCGGATGGTCCGGAAAGAGGTCGTCGTCGGCGTCGGCAGCGGGAGGCTTCGGGGTGATGGAAGATGTTTTTAAGGTCATGGACAAGGATGGAGATGGGAGATTGAGCCATGAAGATTTGAAAAGTTACATGAACTGGGCTGGGTTTTCTGCTAGCGACGAAGATATCAAGGCTATGATCAGATTGGGTGGTGGCCATGAAAATGAAGGCGTTTCTTTCGATGGTTTGCTTAAGATTTTGGCCGTTGATATCGCACGGTCAAATGTTTAAACATTTTTCTTCTGTGTTCCGGTTGTAAAGATGGATCAAATAACAATAACTGTTGAACGCGAAATTTTCTTGCTCATCTTCTCTCTTCTGCAACAAAATTATTTTCTTAATGTAAAATATAAGACAGGGTAAAACCAAATGATTCGTTTCCTGTCTTTTCTCTTCTTTTTTCTTGTTTTTTCCTGCTAATTTAGTTTTGCCACAGTATATCAAAAGCAAGATTAACGTTCCATAATCTTAATTAATTAATTAATTATGGGGCAAAAGAAAAAAGGTCAGCATTTTAATGCTGACAGAATAGCTATTAGCAACAAACAAGGAATTGTTAATTGACTCCCAATTTGGTCAATGCGTTAATTAAATATTTTGATTGTCCAATGACTGATTAGCTGTAAAACTACTCAGTACCTAATGAAACGAATCTTGAGGCTTAACTGCTAAGCAAAGAACTCTAACTATTATTATCCTGAGGCTCAGCCGAAAAAGATCTAATAACAAGTTTGGTCCGCGGAATAAATAAAAATAAAATAAAATAATTATTATATGAAAATAAAATAAAATAAATATTATTTTGATATAACAAATAAAATAGAGTACAAATAATTATTATAATTTATTACAATGTTTTGATTAATAATAAAAATTTTAAAATAAAAAAATAAAAATATTTTTTATTACATATATAATTATTTATTTTTATTTTATTTTTAAATAGTAATAATTTATAATTTAATTAAAATATAACGATTAATAATTTAAATATTAATATTTAACTATAATTTAATTATAAATATTTTAATCGTAATAATAATATTTTAAATAAAATATTAATAACTTTAATTAATTTCTAATTTTAAAAATATTATTTTTATAATTTATAAATATTTTTTTTATTTTTCCTTACCATGTGACCAAATCTGACCACTAGAGTCTTACATTGACGCTTCTTGTAGCTAGATCTGATTATAGAATGCCAAATCTAATCATGAAATTTGACCGAAAAGCACCAAATGTGATGCTTTTTGCAACCAGATCTGACCGTGTAGTACCAAATTTAACAAATTTTCTAATCGATCTTGTTAAAAAATACTAAATCGATACTTTTCGACCAAATTCGATCCTGAAATCACCTTCGTTGCCGCAACCACCGCCACCACTGTTTGGTTTTAATGATCAATGCAAGTTAGAGAGAATGAAAAAGGCAACTAAACCGTGGAAGAGCGACCAAAAGAAAAAGGGAAAAGAGAAAGAGAAAAAAAATGTTTTATATAAATGAAGTTGTAATTTTATAAATTTAAAAGAGATAATTTAATCATTATAAGTTTTACAGTTATTCCATGAGACATAGAATAGATAATACCACGAAGAAAATCAAGTATAGCTAAAAAAAACTTTTTATTCATTTTAAAAAATAGATATTACTGAAAAACTCCTATTCCTTGTTGCACTACTAAACCAAACAAAGTTACAACAAATTACTGGAAATAGAGGGGAAATAGCATAGCTATTCCCCATACCAAACGTGCAGTTAAAGGCTAGAGCTATCTCACAGATATTCAAATCTGGGTTTCAAGTCCAGAAGGACAAGGGACTATGAACTTTCCATAAACATTACATAATACTGTTCGAGCCACACCATATCTATATGGATGGAGACAAGAAAGCAAAAATCCTTAACATAAATTTTGAAGCGTTTTGATCATCATACGTGTTACAAGTTTCAATCGACTATGTTTACTAGATGCTTGCAAGAACAGCAGGCAAAACTAGCAAAGGAAAGTATGTCGGGGTGCGGAAGGAATTTGTATTCACAACTTACAAAAGTAGGATAATGAGTGCCTGGTAAGAAGAGCAGCTTGGTTTTTGTACCGACTTACAACAGATGCTACTCATGGACCCTCAGACTAAACTGATATTTCCACTCATCAATTCCTCTTGAAATGGCCTGTAACGCAAAATGCATAAATCTCCAGGCACCATTTGGAAGTGATCATCTCTGCTAGGTGAACGATACGGAATGTTAGTTCATAACCGAAAGGAGTAGTTTTACATTTTTTAAGAGCAGAAGCTACAAACAAGTGAGAATAGCAAATTGCCTGTTGTCAAAGCCAGCAGATTGCCTGCTGCCATCAAGGAACAAAGGTCTTGTAGCTCTCTGGCATTTGGCAACAACAAATGTATCTAATTGTGGCTCTGGAACTGAAATCATAGACATAAATCAATCATCAATAATCAAAGTACACGTAATATAACAGTCAATGAGTGGCCTCTATACGTGTCAAAACTGTGAAAACTATAGCATAGAGTAGATCAACCCTAAGTTAGCTACTTGCTTAAATATACATTTTAACATAAATGAAAATAAGGAGATAGTTGACAGGAAAGCACAAGTGCCAAATACTTGGATTGAAAACAATTTCTGAAAAAAAAAAGAAAAAACAAAAACTTAAACAATATCTGTCAAATAATCAAAATACAGGAGGTAAACATAAAAAACAAGTTGCAATCTAATGCAGTTGAACAGAAACACTGACATGAAGGCAAAGCATAGGATATACAAATCAGTAGGCAAAATGAGTGACTATGGTATACAAGCTGGTTTGTATTCACAGTTTCTTCTGTTAGACAAATCATCCCATCCCCCCTCCCCCTCCCCCTCCCAATTTCCCAATGTATATATCTTTGCTAAACCCCTCCAAATTTTCCACCAAATATATCTCTGCTAAAACAAGGTGGAAGCTCCTGTTTTTCCTTTTTTATTTTCTTCATAGCATTTATTTCTAGATTTTTATTGAATAACAAATACCAGTTGACAAGGTGCAGCAAGCCTGTATACTCTTTAAGGCACAATTGTCCTTATATACCAATCACTTTCTGGTTGAACAACTTGAATGTTTTCCTCTTCTTGTCATTCCAACCAAGTCCTATTAACTTGAAAGCAAATATGCACATGCACAAAAATATTGATGCATTAACAGGAGAGTGCAAAAGTTAGAGAAAAAGATAATTAGAATTACCCATATCATCCTCTTCACTGATGATGGATTGCTTTAATAAAGACTGATAATTATCAGGCAATTTTGACAGAACAGTTTCTTCAAGATGTTTCCCAATATCACGAATACACCTGCAATCATGAAATCAAATTTTTAAAAACAACTGTGGGATGCATTTCGGAGCTTCAGTTATCTCAAAGAACTTTTTTGGTGGTTTAAACAAAGTTATCCAAATAAGGCTATGGATATGCCTTCACAACAAAGAAACGACTTCTGAGAAGCCTTTACCTTTCACCAAACTTTTCCTCTTCTGTAGAAAGCCGGTGACGATAAGCATCACTTTTCCATATATAAAACATGAATTTCTCAATCTGCATTAACATTACCCAGGAAACGAATGAGAAAATGTGAGATATTTCAGGATGCAAATCATACAGGGTATGAGCAAATGGTAGTCTTGGCAGAATCAGAATATGATTCTATTGATTTTCCTCTGCATCATTCAATGAATATTACTATCATTTTCAGCTTTCTCAGAACAGCATTCTTTAGAGACAAACAAAAGGAAACAGATGAACAAACAAACACAGAGTTAGAAGGCCACCTTCTGAAGCCGAACCCGGAGATATGATCTCAGCAAAAACTGAGCCCTATCCAGGTCCATCTGATAGAGTGATGCAATGAGAGGATCATGACCACTTTCTGCAAACTCATCTACCGTTTCTTCCTGCAATTTTTTGCACCAATTCAGTCTCAAAAAAGATATATTAGCAAACTAACTAGTAGTGCGAGGATCACAAATCATCAAATAGATTCTTAGCGAAACTCTCCTTTCCAAACAGCAACTTTTACTTGACATGATTTTTATTTGTCGTATGGTTCAAAGTCCTGAGAAGATTTAGGCACCAAATCACCATAAGCTTTTAAAAGCTTAAAGTGCATTTTTAAATTGATTAATTTTCAATTTAACCTCAAAATTAGTTCACACAACTATTCAATAAAGATTAATTTCTCTTTCAACAATTTAAACTTCAACAAATTTTCAAAATTGAATTCCAGATCATGAAACATTTTTGCATTTCAGTTAATAATTTAAAGAAGAAACAATTAAACGCATATCCGAAAGCTTGAGAGCAATTTTTAATTAGCCTAGATTTTCACGGGAAACAAATAGACAGTGAGGGTTTCGAGATTGAAAAATACCATCAACTGGATCTGCTCTTTAGCTCTCTTAACTAAAGCCTCCTCGAAAGGAAGGATCTCAGGAGCCGCTTTCTCGTTGCGCCACGCTCTCTTCAAGAGCTCCACATCGGTCGTTGAAATCAACGTCTCGTAGTCATCCATCTGCGCCGTCGACCACTCTCCTGCGCCCGACGCCATCCGATCTCTCTCCCTCTCTCTCTCTCTGCGTTTCTGAATCAAATTATAAAAACGAAATTTAAGAGAGGGAAAATTTGGCGAAAATTGGCGGCAAAGGGCCAAAAAAGGAAAGATTCGGGTGTTTTCAAGAGGAGACAGATCACGAGTTTGTGCGTTAATCTAACACCATTGATGCTATGATTGAAAAATGGACGGCCTTGATGGCGTCAGATTCACGAACAAACTGAAGATGCGTCCCATCTACTAAAAATCGAAGGAGAAAAGAAAGAAGATTTTCAAATTAAAGCGCGTCGGCCATCGGGGCTCTGATGCTGCTAATTTGGCAGGGTTTGCCCGTTTATAGGGAGGGGGCTCACTCGGAGCAAGGGAGTCGTAGGAGTCGTTTCTGATTGGACCACGTGTAATATTTAATGCAATGCACGTGAAAACTGACATGTTGGATAAACCAAAAATATTTTTTTAAAAAAACGTGGGGGGTGGGTTGGGAATAAAGTTTTTTCTATTCAATTTTTTAAAAAATAAATCTAAATTTTAATCCTACAACAAGTTAGATTTTTTTAAAACAAAAAAATCTAAAAATAGTTGTTGTTTTAGAAAAAAAAATTAAAATAATTCGAATACTACATTAAAATTTTTTTAATGCAGATATTACATTAGATATTATTTTTTAAAGAATAAAAGCTACATAAAACCTTATTCCCATAAATAAAATATTGACTAATTTTATAAATTCTGTCAAACAAGTTGCGCGGTCGCGATTGTTGGGCCTTTCAGCAGAGCAAATGGACAATGGAATTGACCCATGACTTTCGACTTTTGAGACATAACTTATGGGCCAAGGACGAACGAGAAGACAGCTGTTGTTGAAAAACGAATATAACTACTTGTACTCCAAGCTTTTGGTTTAATTAATTAATCACCCTTTTAGTTTTGTCTAGTAATTCATTAAAAACGTCTGCTAATCAATGATTATATCTTATAAGAGTATTTTTTTATTTTTATTATCTTATAAGAGTATTTATTGAAATATTATTCGTAAAAAAAGAGAGATTTAATTGAACTTTTAAAATCGTAATAATTTACAATGTTTTAAACTTTGATTTTAATTTTGTTTTTTAAATGTTTTAAAGTTTATCACTGCTTATGAACTTTATTCTAGGATATCCTTCCCACAAAAGAAAAATAAATAAATGAATAAATATATATATCTTTTATTTTTTAAACTACATACGCTTATAATTTTTTTTTTGGTTGAAAGACATATAGTATTGTATTTATTTAGGTGTAAAAGGATTAAAGGTCGTGTAGCCATAATTGAATGGACAAGACATGATAGACGCTACAAATAAGTATAAATATCTCTAATTTGAGAAACTCTTGTTTTTATCAATTCATCTGTTATAAAATTTATTTCTTTAAAAATACAATTAAATGAGAGAGATCAAGAATTTTGCATTTTGTAGTGCGCTTGATATGATTAGAGATGTGTTATAACTTTCAAAATGACAGTAGAGTGATTATTATTTAATTCAAAAAATACTAACACGGTTAACATATAACCACGTATATACATATGCACACAAATTTCAAATGGAAATCTATATCAAAATGAACTAATAGATTAGACACAATCCATAAACGGCGCTAACTTGGGCTGCTTTGTATAATTACCTATTAGACTCCGGAACCTATTTGAATGATGCTGCCCCTGAATCAGTGCTAATCCACTTCATCTTATGCAGAGATCTACCCCCAAATAGGAGCTATGTTTATTATTCTTTTATATTCGTAGGTATATATAGCTATGTTCAAAAAAATGGGAATGGAAAGGATAGGGAAGTGGCTGATTTAGGAGAGAAAGCTTTAAGGAAAGAACCAACCTGCAAGAAATTACTCGCATTTTCCAAAGAGTTTCATAGTTTTTTTCTTTTTTATGCATTTGTTAAGAGACAAGTGCTTGAAGTGACTTAACTTGGATTTAATTTCATCTAAAAATTGTGAGGAAAATTAAGTTTAATTTCTGGTTTGATCACCTGAATCCTTTCACTTTCTTAATTAAAATTAAAATCAGTAGTATAATAAAAGCATTAGCAAAGCAGAATACGGCTAGCTTGGTCTTTCATTCCTATGCAAACTAGATATATAGCAATACACACTAACCTTGATACATTACCTGCAAGCCAGATTTTCATTACACATCTTTTTTAAAACTTGTTTCCTACGGGATACTTTAACATGCGCAGTTTGCATATACTATATGTAGTATATGCTTTTGTCTTATTCTAACATGTTAAAATTCCACTTTTATTCTCAGGCACACCATTTTTCAAGAGCTCCATCACTTTCTGAGCCTTCAAATAAGCTGCATGGCAGCTCAGTTCCATGGCTTGCGCTTGTTCTCATCCTTATGGGCGGAAGGAGCGTAAGGATTCGAGCGGCTTCTATAGAAATGATGGCTTTGAGTATTTGCGAAATCATCTTCCTGCAGGGAACGGACAAGGCCTACAGCATTAGTTTCTGCGGTTCCAGCAGCATCTGCACCCTTGTTTGCAGCTCCAACAGCGGCCTTTCGACCCATAGTATTTGCCTGATCATGACCAAGGACCTTACGCTTGTTGTTCTCGAGGCTCAACCATTTTCCATCTGCTTCCAGAGTTGCCACAAGCAGCATGAGGGCAAAGAAGATGATTACTGAGTTCTTCATGATCGATCGGGAATCAGCTAAGCCTGAAATGAAACAAGTAATTTCATGTAAAGAAAAATCAATTTCTAATTATATCAAAAAGAGAAAATAAGACGAGGGTTATGGCAAGTACCACGTTCAACTTTGAGGAAATATTTTGTGATGAAAGGAGAAATCGAGAGCCTAGGGTTTTTATAGCCCTAGCTGCTCGCTGTTTAGGGTTTAATGTGATAGATTTTTTAGCAATATCAAGAAACCAGAGGGTGAGGTGTGAGTATATATCACATTGCTGCAAAACCATTGGTGGCTTTGGCCAAGAAGCGAAGAAATTTTATGTGATTAATATTAGTAAATTGTGCTAAGGAATTCAAACAATTATTCAACCATGGAATTTGGTTAATCCACTTAAGTGACAATCCCCGTAATTCACTAGTCAATTTATTCACTAATTACCACTTTGTTCTAGGGTTAATCCACTTAATTGAGCTGAGCTATTCTTATTATTATTTAATTTGTCTTTGTAGGCATAGCTAGGTATAATTTAGTCCTTTGCAACTTTTCTTGGAATGTTTGCTGTTATGTTCTTAAGTGATGAAGGGTGCAATGATAATGCCCAAATTTCATTGAAATATTAAAGAGGCTTTGGGATGAATGTTATTGGTGGGGACATCTAGAAGGATGTGGAATATTGTTTGTGGTGCCACTTGTTGGTCTATTTGGTTGAGCCAAAATGATATAATTTTTAATGGCAGGACATGGGATGGAGGATAGATCTAACTTTTAAAGCTTGTGAAGGAAATGAAATGGTAGATGGTATTGGGTGGTGGGTGGAACCTTGGAAATGTGGTAATAGGAGACTAGCTATTGATTCTAGAGGTGGAGTTGAGTGGACAAATCCTAATATCAATGAACTCAAATTCAATGTTGATGCTTCTGCTTTTACTTCTGCTAAAGGTAAATCGAGATTAGCAGGATGTGATGGGGTGTTTCGACATAACGAAGGCTCGGTTGTTGGACAGTTTTTTGGTCCACTTGGCATCCAAGAACCCAATGTTGCGAAGTTAAAAGCCATTAACCATGCAGTACAGATGTTTACAACTTCCTCATATGAGGGTGGAAAAAGGTTGGTGATTGAATTCGATTCGAAAGTAGCACTATCTTGGGTGAGGGAACCACGAGAGGGACCTTGAGTCCATTGACAGATTTTTAATGATATCGATGCTAATCTACGCGTGATTGAGTGTTAAGAGTTTAGACATTCCTTACAAGAAATCAACCCCTTTACAGATGCTTTAGCAAAGTTTGGAGTGGAAAGGGAAGATCTTCATAAGGTAGTAATACACATTAGCATTGGCTTACATGATTGGATGGAAATTTCATGTACTTTTGATTATTTAGACTATATTCAAAATTTTTGCATCCCTATAGCTGGTTTAAGATTCCAAATAGCATAACAATAGAATTAATTTTTAAAATTGTTTTCATATGAATACAGAATCTAATTCATGACAACTATACTACTTATAAAATAGAAAAAAAAATTTCCTTAACGACAGCCAATACCAATAGAGGGACAAATGAAAGAAAAACGATTTTTTCTTTTATGTAGAGCAAGTAATTAATTTTAGGATCGATCACTCAAAATGCTCTGACTTTCATAATTAAGTTGATATGGCAATCTATACACTTTTAAATTTCCACACTATTTACAAAAAAAATTAACAATATATTGCAAATGCATTAGAAAATTAAACTCTTGTTAGGGTTTTGTCTATTATTTTTATTATGTCAAAGAAAAAGGTTTGTCCTTTAGAAAACTTCATTTTTGTGAGCAAAATTTTTTTTAACACAGAAGAGAATTATCCTTCTCACAATATCAAAACAAAACAATTATTTTAAACAATTTCATCAATAACTCAAAGTCTCAAACAACACAACAATTTCATTGAAAACAAAGGTTATAGCGATTAAAATTAACCGATACTGTAATGATGAAGTATAAACAAGCAAAGACAATATACGAAAGGCTAGCTTGATCTTTTATTCTATACAAACAAGATAATAATACACACAGACCTTGATTTGCATTACGAACACCATAGTTCATAACCTAACTCACTTCTTTTACAACTTATTTCCTTAGGAGGAAACTTAACATGTGCCGTATGCATGTACGATATATAGTATATGCTTTTGTCTTATTCTAACATGTTAATTTCCTCTTTTATTCGGAGGCACACCATATTTAGAAAAGCTCCATCACTTTCTGAGCTTTCGAATAAGCTATATAGCTAGCTCAGTTTCATTGCTATTATTTGTTCCTAATTTGGTGGGTAAGGGATGTGCGTCGTGTTATATTTATGGTGGGTACTTAGACTATCGGTCAAATTATGTTCCTGCAGGGCACCGACAAGGCCTACTACTACACCTTTATTTTCTGCTGTTCCAGTAGTAGCTTCACCCTTGTTGCTTGCAGCTGGATCTTTGGCATCTTTAGCTCCAACATCGGCCTTTCGACCCAGAGTACTCACCTGATCACTAAGGAGATTACGCTTATTGTTATCCAGGGTCATCCGTTTTCCATCAGCTCCCAGAGTTGCCAGCAGCAGCACGA